TGGTAACGAAGCCAGAAGCTTGAGCGTTTCTTGTTCATCAAAATAAATTAAATGAGGATCGTCAATACGTGTGTTGGCGAGAATAAATTCACAAGTAAAAACACCAATCCCTTTGTTATCAGGTGTCAATCTTAATTCAGCGTTGACTAAGAATCCCTTAGCTCTTCGTGGAAGTTCAGGCGTTTTTGCTTTGCAAGGTTTTTCCATTCAAGCGTTCGTTCCCGGAATAACAGAGATACTGAAATTTATAGCAATAACATGGACTAAATACAGGTCTATTTTTCTACTAATATTTATTTTTATGACTATGACAGGTACAGCCCCGCGCGCAATTTCGTTGGAAAACTATATGACAAAAAAGTCCCCCATGAGGGCCGTATGCGTCAAGTGGTAAGGCCGAGAAAACGCGTGCGGCCCTGTTAGAAACGCGTATGGATTGATGCGGGTTTGCTTCGTCGGAAAAATTAAAAAAACACACACACAACGGTCGTATGATCAAATGCTTATTGACTGAGTTAGGTCGGACCGGACGGGAAAATATTTGGCCATCGGTCAGGAGGTACGGGTCCTGACCTCGAGCCAAATATACTGCCTTATTTTCCTACCAAAAATAAAACCCGGAATGGTAAATTTTAAGCTCTCCAAAATCCTTCTATCATTCCCAATACTTTAATTCCGGAGTACTCCCTTTCCCCTTGGTGCGCTGTCTCACTATAGCTAGACTTCACGTCGTGAAGCCTCGCTTTGTGATATTGTGAGAGACGATTGAAGCTGCAGTGGAGACGTTGCTTAGTGCCACACCCTCTAACGGAAGTGAAAATATCTTTGCTGAGAAAAGAACAACTTGGTTCTACTTTGTGTAACTCTCGCTGTATGGAGGACTGTCGAGTTCAACTCCTGCCTTGACCGCTAGCTGGATTTGTTCTGAGTTCAAACCTTCTGCCATCGTTATGAATAGCCAACTGGTTCGTCTCTCTACTCCCTGCCATTGTTGGGATCCTAAACCCCGTTATGTTTAATTTCAATTATTTTACTATCTCTTAAAAACCCTTTGAGGGGAGAGGATAAAAAAGTTGCTAGAAATTTTTATTCCAAGTGGACTTTACAAGGGGGAAGGTTTTCGTCCAAATTGTGTTGCGTACCGAGGAGGTGGCCGAGTGTCCAGCGTGTCCAACTCGCAATCCGGTGGTCACGAGTTTGAATGCTGCTCTGGTCACTTGCTGAATATGTTCCTGGTCGTCCCCAGTTCAAATCCTCGGCTATGCTTGAAAATAGCCAACTGTTTGCCTCCGACCAGCAGGGGTTTTTAATCCTGCTATGTTATATTAGATTATTTCTTTCTAATTATTTGAGTGTAGTGCATGTAAACTAGCTAGCTGGATAAGGTAAGTGCACTTCCCACGACAAACAGAGGTAATGAGTTGAGATAAGTTTGAGTTTATAGCTAAGAGGTTGTAAAACTAATGGTAACCCTAGCCTGTGTAGCAGTTGCTTAAAAGTAATGGGCACAAGTGCCTCTTAAGTGCCTGCTATGCAGACTGTGGTAATAATAATAATATTCAATACTTATATTGCGCTTTTTCTATAAAAATACTCAAAACCCATCAGAGACAGTGTACATTGTGGCCCACAAAAATAAAGAACAGACAAAACCAGATCATTGAAAAACAGTCAAATTAACCTCCATGTGCAAAACCTTTTGTAAGAAGCCACCTATCCAAAACAAAAATTCCCATTCAAAGCCCCTTAGATGGTCACTCTGAAGTGAGAGGTGAATAGGGGAATGCAAATCTGCTGATCCATTATAGTTTATTAAGCAAATCTGCAGTTAAAATTTCTCTCTAAATCCAAAGTACAGGCGAAATATTTTTTTAAATGTGCAAAGCCCAAAATCCGTGTCCAAAAAATGGATGAAGCTGCAATCCGCAGCCATTGCCAGATCCACAAATCCGTTAAAAATTTCACTCTGAATCCAAAATTGGGCCAAAAATATTCTTAAAATAGGGCGCAAAAAGGGGAGGGGGAGGGAGGAAGGAGAAAGGGAAAAGGGAAGGGAGCCCTCCCCCTCTCCCCAATCCCCCTCCCCTTTTCCCTTCCTCCCTATCCCCTAACCCCTACCCCTTTCGACGTCTGCTACGCAGGCTACAAAATCCGCCAATCCGTTGGCCTATTCAACTCCCAACTTATGGGAGGTTTGAATGTAAACACAGCAAGAAGGAATCTCAACTGGGCAGAGGCAAACCAGTTTGGTATATTTTAGAAAAGCACGTGTGAGCTGGGTTGAACGTGGACTTTTTTAACCAAGAACAAATCAAGCAAATGGTCATGGGTGGACTTGAACTTGGGACCCTCAGATTGCAAGACTAGCACTTTTAAACCACTTGGTTATCCTGCCTTCCTTCCCTGTGTAAATGGGGGCATCACTGAAGAGTGCAATATAAAAATTACTTTGGGGAGTTAGCACAAAGTTTGAGTTCTCGAGAGTTCGAGTTACTGGGGGGGTAAAATTACATTAAATGTATGAAGGAAATCCAGGGAACATTGAATTTGCTTGAATTAGCACAAGTTTCAAGCAAGGGTTCAATTTATATCTTAACACTGGAATAGGCAGTAATAGTGAAGTTATGCAATAGGATGGCAGGGGAGAGAAGAGGGTAAACCTTGTGTGACAAGTGCGACAGTAATTATGTTTGATAAAAATTCCTCTCAACTTTTTTAACCTTTCTTTAAATCAGTGCCAGATCCAGACCTTAAGATAAGTTGGGGGGGGGGGTGGTGGTATCCAAAAAATATTTCTCCACCCTTTGGGCTTCAGCTTCAGTTTGGTCTAAAAATAAGGGGGGCCCAGAAGGATCCGCCACTGAAAATAGTTCTCTCCTTAAAATGCCAGAACACAGTAACATGTGAAGATCATGACACAAACAACCATTCGTTGTCCTTACTATTAGCTAACTATTAGTACAATATTAGTTTATGCAACAGATCAGCAGAAAGAATTGAAGAGCATGCCAAAACGTCTATGTGTGACAAACGTGACAGGGGCATTACTTGCATGTCTTTAGATTTTTTACGAAAAAATCTCTTTAAAGGAGGATGAAGTTTGGAAAAAAATTTTCTCAAACAAAAATTATTGTCACGTTTTTGACACAAGGTTTGCCGTCTTTTTTCGTCTGCCGTCTTATTGCATAAGTTCACCAATGTCGTGGTCACGCAACGCTTGCTGCCGATCCCAAATTCAAACATAAATTCTTTACGGTATTATTATTTCATGGCAGTTTAATCAAGTATGAGTTCTCTGACATAATTTATCATCATAAACACTGATCAAAAAGTGGCATACTTTTTACATCGAAGATGCCCACATAATAAAATTGGATGAAATTTGAAATTACCACGCACAAGCGGAAAAACGCAACACATTAAACATCTGATTCTTTTATACAGTATCCGTACATGTAGCTCCATGGTTCCAGCGTAACTTTTGAGATAAATATTTAAAGAAGTATCGGTATCATAGCCGTTCACTTTCGTTTAGTTCCCTTAAAATAATAATTTTCTCGACCAAAGTGTTTCGTATTATACCTAGGTATTAAATGACCACTGTGGTCAAGTCGATCGATTGTCAACTGTATCCCCGAGCAGAAGACAACATAAAATGGTTTTGTTAGAAGAAGAGTACTTACCAAAAGCAAAAGTTAAATCGAAACGGTCTGACCTCTTAATAGTTCGTCCTCGTGCTTGGCCGGCCTTGCTGCTGAAATGTAAATTGTAACGTATCGCAACCAATCATGGAACGTGACGTGGAAACAAATCAGTACTTAAGAATATCATTATTGATACCCTGTCGGGTCGGGGTTAACCTGAGATCAGGCGTTATATATATTTTTTGCTTCTTTGCTTCTTTGGCTCGGGAGGGAAAAAAACAAGAGACATAAAGGGGTAATAGGGAGAGGGCATGATCTCAGGCTAGGTCGGGGTACACACAATGCCCCAAAATACACTCTATAACCCCGGCCCCTCAAATTTTGCAGAAACTTGCTTTTTCCTTTCAATTGCTCCTGAGGTAACCTGCGGTCAGGCGTCTTTCTTGAGGGGAATGTATATTCATAAGAGCATTTGAAAACAATATCTTATACAAAATTTGTGGGGCGGCGGTGGTGGTGTGGTGGTGGTGGTGTTAGGCGGGGTCCCCCCCCCCTTCTGCAATTTGTCTCAACTAAAACCCCTAAACTTTTATCGCTTATCGTCGGATTAGCGTTCAATCGGTCTTTGTATCCGTCAAATATCCACATCCTGTCCATAAAATTATATGTGAAATATTTAGACATTTTACTGGTACTTCACGTCCCCAAGTCCCGTAGTCCATGTCCCCGTTCCCGTAATTCACATCCCCGAGCCCAGATGAACGAGGAGCTCCCGTTGCATGACTACGCCCGTGACTTTTGAAGCCATTCGATATTGAGGCGGCGTTCGCCTTTTCCTTCACGATTAAGAAGAAGACGAACATGGCAGCAACAGTGGCTAAATCTTATTTTAACGCTGATATTCCAGAAATTGTGGTTAAAAGTCTGTTTAAGAAATATGACACTGATGGTAGTGGACGACTTGGAAAGAATGAAATGTCAAGTATGTTGAAAGATGATCTGGGTATGTCGCCCGAGCAAGCTCAAGCGTGCATTTTAATGGTTGACAAAGATGGCTGTGGTGAAGTCTCTTTTGATGAATTCTCCTTATGGCTTCGAACCAGTAAGGGCTTCGATAACGTCGACAAAAAGTCCAGATTCCACGTGATCCAAGAAGCCGTAAAACTCTTCAAGAAATTCGATAAGGACGACAGTGACACCATTGACAGAGAAGAGTTCAAGGAGTTGATGGCTTCACTTAAAGCTTGCGACGAATCGCAACTTGACAGCGCCAGGCAAAGTTTGGATACGAGCGGAGATGGTAAAATTTCTTTCTCAGAGTTTTTGAACTGGCTGAACTGGCTTCCGAGAAATTAAGTCATGATCATATGAAGCAAGCCGAACTGTAATAATAATTAATGACCTTAAGGCCGGTACACCGTTTCATTCACTGCTTGCGGGTACTGGTAAGCGTAGATGTTTACCTCGTATTTTTATAAAAGGCAGCCATGATTCTACCCAGTAGCCTACCCGTTTCTCCCGGGTAAGAGGCAATCTACCCGTATTTACAGCTGCGTGTACAGCTAATTTAGCAGTACATGTGCAAGGGGTGGCGAATGGTACCTCGAAAAATGTGGGTCTCGGAAAATTTTGGCAGGATCTCGAAATCTCACGAGCGTTTTTGATAAGTCTCGAAGTCTCATTTTTGCATGGTTTGTTTTTACTTTTTTTGAGTCTCGAAACTTTTTACCAAAGAGTCTTGGGCTCAGATTTCTAACGAGGATCTCGGCGTCTCACCGAGTCTCGGATTTTACCATTTGCCACCCGTATGTGTACGGAAATGGTGTACCTTAAGGTCTTTAATATCAGCGGCCTTCCCGGGGTCGACCACTGGGGACATACGCGGGAATGGCGCGGGATTTGTTGACATAGCACTATTAGGGTAAATCCAGCAAGTAACATGGCCTTGAAACAGTGGCACAGGACAGGAGAAATGGTAACAAATGACACAAAGATTGCAACAGCAACAGAGAAAAGTGCAAACACTTTGGTAAAATACCAAGAGCGACATGGCTTTCTCCTCAATAAGCAAAACGATAGGTTTTGAAAATTCAGCCTAGGAACATAACCTCCTTAAGAGTGCCTCAGTCAAACACCTGCTTAATACAGACACCTCATTATTACAGACAGTTTGCTTTCTCCCTGGGGAAAGAAAGCCCTTACATCTCCTCTAAATTTACAGACACCCCGTTAATATGGACACTCCTCAGTGTCCGTTTAATGGGGTTTGACTTTGGCGCTCTTTTGTTGCAGGAGTCTAGTCTGTGTAGCATGGCAATTTTGTCGGGCACAATACTGAGCAGTGATGCTGCGAAAAAAATAAAATCCGCCTGCCCGGATTCATGGCTTTTTTTCGCGACTTCGCCACTCAGTACTGCGTGCGACAAAGTCACCATGCTACACAGGCTATGCCTAGTACAGTATGCCAGCTATTTGACCTGAGGTGTTATCTTAACCAACTGTTGCCCCAGGGGGAGGGGTAATGGTATTTGTGTGGAGAAATATTGTGCTTGGGTGGGGGGGATTTGTGAACATCTTTGTGCAGTTTCCTAGGGTCAACCCTCCAGTATTGGCCACTGTCGTGTATAATAAATTAATTTTTGTAATAAGAAGAAACAGCACTTCAAATATTTAAATCTCAAGGGCTTGTTTTTACATCTCATAATAAAGTCATATGCTGATCTAACCCTCATGTGTAAGCGTGCTGTTACATGATTCTATTTTTATCAAGGATCTATGCTAATAACCATATTTTTAGTCTGATTTAGAATATTATTTGTTGAAACCACTTTTGTTTGTTCAAAGTAATAAGTACTGTTTAAAAAATGAGCAGGAATGTATTATCAGGGTTTTTACACCTGATAATACATGACTGCGAGTTTTTTGAACAGCTTCAAAATCTCTGATATAGATCAACTCATTTTAGTCTAAAAAATTGGATGTAAAGTTTAGCTGTGTCTTTATCAGATATAGACACACAGTAAACATTAATTTTGTTGGTTTTTCTTTTTGAACTATTAATGAGTTTTTGAATAGTTGGGAAATATATTCTGCAGCATAATGTTGTAACTACCAGGCTGCAATAACACAATGAAAGCTTGTATGATCTAGCTGAGAGAAAAATGTAAGAACTTTGAAAGATGCTGTAAAATCTGTTCATTTGTCTGAAATCTGGTTTATCTTTGAAAACAGCTCATAATCTTAACTGTTGCTAATGAAACTATCATGTTTTGTGATTGTCAACAATTTGTTATTTAATTGGTTAACATAAAAATATTTAAAATAAAAGGGAACAGGAGGTGTATTTAAAATAAATGAAAGGTGAGAACAAATCAAACAGTAATTCCAAATTTTTTTGTATGTTGATTTGATAAATCATAATCATTAATGAAGTGTCTTGATGTCTCACTCCATACAGTGTGGCTACTCGAACCATGACATTTGGAAGAAGATTATAAACTCACAACGTTTTTTGAAAACAAAAGAATTGTAAGTTTTTTTGCAAATGGACAAATAACATTCATAAATTTGAGGGCTCTTTCCTGAGAGGTCAGGTAACTTCAAACGGTTTTAAAGTCCTCAACAGCTGCATAGTTGAATTTTATTATTCCGTTTGCAAAAAAAAAAGAAAAAAATGAGAATCTTGTTTTCAAAAACCACCGTGATTGGATAATCTTCTACCAAGGGTCCCGGTTTGAGTAGTCGCACTGTAGCTGTTATTCATTGTGTGTCTATGATGAGAATGATGTTAATCACCCTTTTTGAAACGTTAAAAAATGATAAGTTTATTAGTCTGTAACTTCTGTAAATAAAAAGACCAGTCCAGCAGGGCAAGGAGTGTTTCAAGGAACTTGTGCCTTCAAGGGTATCTCAGTCAGCTTTCATTGCGAGTCCACTCCATTCAATATGATATGAGCATCTAAAAAACTTTCTGGGAGTGTCTATTCTTCACCTGTGTGTTAACTGTAAAAAACAAACTGAACGTAAAGTATAACTGCCCTGTGACTCCAAGCAATATGAAGCTTTCCACCGAGACTGAAAATAACAAAACAAGTAGGCCTAAACAAACGGACTTTTTAAATTTATGCTTGGGCTTCCTGTGCTGCCCAGCACCCTACCCCTCCCCAGTGGAGCGTGAATTGATACCATAAGCAACATGGCGGCCAAGATGTACGGAGGTATACGGTGAAGCCGGAAAAAGACCTTGAAGTGCCGCATGGATAGCTACAGCTTTGTTTCGTCCTCAGACTAACAGACAATCAGGATTCTCTCTTCCAGAAGCCGGTATAAAAAGTAATGGCAAAACACCAGATGGCCATCTCAAGACATCCATGGTCGTCATAAATAATCAAAGCTTCGCCTTTGACACGTCAGCCCCGCTGTGATTTAGTAACAGCCTAATAAGGATTATGGAGAGTAATTTTAGTTAAAGAGATCAAGCTAACGTCCAAGGAAGAACAAGTATGAGTTTGATGTTGTTATTAAGGCGAGCTTTTAGAGTTAGATCGTTTAAAAGAACGTTGATATTTCTCGTGGTCATTCTCGTCCAAGTGTGGCTGGCAATTCCAGTTTTTTTCGGTCAACGCGGTAGCAAATGGCCCCAAGAGTTTAAAGTTGTTTTTCCAGAAAATTTCGAGGCACCATTTGTTCCTCTGGTGATATTTAGCTCTTACAGACCTCGGTATTTGGAGAGAACGTTGGAATCCATTGCTTCTTCTGGAAGCATTGTACCCAGCACACCATGTTTGTTTATATTACATCACACCAAAGCATCATCTATGGATGATATTAACGAGACGTACAAAGTATTAGGTAAAATCACCTTCTGTAGGAAGCTTGTGTGGACTTTTGGAAATGAGAAAGAGGAACGGACTCCTGAAGTACTCAAAGCACATTGGTGGAACACAATGAAAAAGGTGTTTGATGAACAAGGTATATGATTCGTTAGACCCTGTTAACTGCTAAAAAATGAAACTCCAAGGCCCCGTTCATACGCCAAACTTTTCAGGAGCCAGATCAAACTCAATTTAAAGTAAGGTGACCCAAATTATTCGGGCGACTGACTTGATTAAAACACTGATCTTAATTCCAGCCGCACTTTCAAAACGAAATGCTCATTTCAGTCAAAGTGCTTGCAAAATGCCTTATCAATATTTGTGCATTAGATTCAGCACATAAAAAGTTTGACGTCCCAATTCTTCCTGTTCCAGAATCGCTCCAAAGTTAAAATTCCTGTCCAGGCTAAGTAGGAAGAACAGTTGACAATTTTTCACCTACTTAATTCAATATCCTAGGTTCAACTTATCAACAGTTTGGTGTCTGAACCAGGCCTAACTGTGCAATAATATTATTATCATTAATAATATTATATTGTTGCAAAACGAGTTTCACCAAAAGTAGACTTGCTGTTTGCTCTCTCTTGCAGTCCCAAGTAGTCTTACTATGCTAGACAGACTGTACATACAAATTCTTGGTTATCACATGACGTCACCAACAAATTCAAAATTAAAGAATTATCAATCCCCCCGGGTTTTTAATTTTATGAAGTGTTAGAGCAGCTAAAAACTTGTGTTTTTTTTCCAAATTTTAATTTCGAAAGGGTATTTCATTTTAGTGATAGTTTATGCTTGAATCTCTAACCTTCTGCATGACGCAGCATTTACGTGACAGCCAAGAGAGCTGTCATGTACGGCAACTCATTTTATTTAGAGAGAAGTTGCAGATATATTTTCCTTCCTCTGGGGGTGTATCCTGATAATCAGATAACTACAGCTTGGAGCCCTATTGTTAAAGGGGTACATATTATAAAGAGCCTCTCTGTGGGTTAGGGTATCTGCAGATGTCAATTTCAACACCTGTTGTCCCTTAAATCATTGGTTTTTTAATGAAATTGTCTGGTATCAAGAATTGTTTTGTGTGGTAACGCTACAAGTGAGCTTGAGCAACACAAAAACAATTGTCACAATTGCTCTGTTGATTTAAAGTTGTGAATTCGGTTACAGTAAGTGTGTTCAGTGCCAAATCTAGGCCAGAGAATTATATTATGATTTCCAATATATGGTAATGGACCTTTTTTGTCATATTATGTTACATCCTAGGTATCCCACTTGAATAATTCCTATTTGTTTTTACACTCTAGTATCAAAAGGTCCACATCATGATTGGCAAAAGTGTGTAGGAAATATTAGTGCTTTTAACTGTATCTTTATACATTATGTATGGCTTGTTTGTAAATGTGTGATTTTATCCGCAGTCACTTTCTCTTGAAACTTGGTTTCACAAAATTAAAAGCTCTGTTTTTACTTCTAGATGCCTTT